TATATATATATATGATAGATTTATTTATTCTAAAAAAATAAATCTACTTAGATTCAATCTACTTAAAAATTTATTTTATATTAAACTTTAATGATTCAATTGTTAAATTATAAATTTTTAATATTTAAATTAAACCTGTTACAAATTTTTAAAATTTTTTAAAAATATTTAACATTCTATTTTATTATTTTTAATTTTTTATCACTATTATTTTTCAATTGCATTTATTATTTTATTATTTTTTTCATTTCTCAGGAGCGTTAATGTTTCTTTCTTACCTCAGTTGTGTAGTTGTGTTAAAGGTTTCACTTCCTCAAACTTAGCACAGAACTTCTCTTTCTTTTGGGAGTTAATCAGAGAAAGAGACAGAGGGAGACACAGAGATAGCATCATCAACACAATCTGTTCGGGTATATTAGATTTTCAATTTCGTGTCTTACATTTTGGGTTCAATTCTCAGGTACGATATGAATGATCACACACTCACACTTAACTTTTGAAGCTCAGTTTTGAACCAATTTTGGATTCAATTGGTGCCATTTTTTTGTTCTTTTTTTCTCAACCCTTCTCCTTCACACTCTTCTCTTTAACCCCTTTTGGTTCATTCAAAGTGAGAACCTTTTCAGTTTTTTTTCCTACCCATTTGCTTTTCTTGCTGGCAAGATTTTTTTCCCTTCAGGGCATTCTCTGTTTTTGGTTCTTAGAAATTAGAACCCTTTATTTGTTTTGATCCATTCTTTTTACTTTCCTTTTTCTTTCTTGTTTTGTGATTGATTCTTGTACAATACTTTGTTTTTCATGCAACTGGATATACTAATCTCGTTTTCCACAATTGAAGAAACCTTTGAAGCTTCTGTTTCCCACAATTGCAAAAAATAAGGAGTTGGCTTGTGATTGACATTCCCCGCATATGTGAAATGTTTCAATTAAAATAAATAAATAAAAAAGAGAACTTGAGGCATTTTGATATCTTCATATCAAAGCTAAATGAAAACAGAAACAAGACACCCTGTACAATTCTATATGGTTTTTTCATCGCAATCATTGCCTTTATGTTATTATCATCGGTGTATTTTATATGTCACATGAGAGTATTTATAAATTGGGCCATGCTTTCATTTACTACCAGGGCCAGTGGTTTTCAACATGATAAGAATTTTTTTTTTTTTTGTCAAGTAGTGGTGTTCAGGCTTTGATGTAGAACATTGAAGTCGAATCCATTTATATGTTGGTATCTTCATTATTTGTAGCATTGAAGTTTTGATGATTTTATGCACCATTTTCGATTGCAAGTTTGTCATTAGAGAAAAATTCACATTCTTAAAGATTCAGAATTTTAGATAATTATATATGGTATATGAGTTGAGACTTCTTGAAAAAGAAGTAATACCAGGCATTCCTGTTTGCAGCTTGTGCAAATTCATATCTTCTCCTTCATACAAGGCTTACCTTTTGTAAGTTTTACTTTTTATTGACAAAAGCATTTTGAAACATGACCAGTGATTATATCTGTTTTTCCCTGCAGAAGCCATCTGCAGAAGAGGAGCTTGCAGCTAAAGAGAGTCTTTCAATTTATTGCAAGCCCGTAGAACTCTAGAACATTATTCAGTCACATGTTATGGGAAATGTACTCTATCTGATTGGCTATAATTATCTGCTTCTGTTATAATATTCTATTCTATTGTTTATCATATTTTATAATATGCATGAGGCATAGGGCTGACTGTATTTTTGGTGGCATTATTGTCTTATAAATTTTCTGGTACCTAAAGATATTTGGCCTGTGATAAACTACTATGGCATGTTGTATTGCACTATTGCTATTATAATTTGTCTCCGTTATGCAGCCATTATTCCTTAAGAGATGTTTGCGCTACAAGATAGAGGCGAAGCGCAAGAAGAGGTAAAAGTTATCATATATAGACATTTCCTTCTGGAACTTGCTGTCTTTAACAAATATATGTCAGTTACATGTCCATGAGTTTATCTCTGTGCATTGATAATTGAAATGGACATTTTGTGATTCAGATAATTACATGTATTTAATACCATATGTGAAACTTGGGAATTGAGAAACAAAATAATTGTGTGTATTTGCTTGCTATTATCATAAAACTAGTAGCAATTTAGGTTGCTGATATGAGAAGAGCTGTAAACCAAGTTGAATGAACAAGTTTCTGAATTTACACTTGCTGTTTTAGATTTTGTTTGGTTTTAAAATGAATAAGGATTAGGATTATCAAATCAAATAGTTCTTTGAAACCTATCAATTTAGTCCTCACCAATATATTTAGTAATTCTGTTCCTTTTGTCTGAATGAATTTCTTATTTCTTTTTTCAAGGGAAAAAAACCTTTTTTCTGTTTTAGATGATGAGGATAAATTAGTGTCTTATTTTTATGTAAACCTCTCAATCTTGTTCTATGATGGTGTTTGTTCATTCTTTCAAATAAGCTTGAATTTGCTATAATTTAAAGTGATTTCATACGAGATATTGTGTTCATTCTACTTTATCTGTATATAATGTTGTATTTATAAATATTGATTTTGATAAGCTAATGGGATATGTTATTTTCATATTTAGAATACAAATGACAGTTTTGTTCGCGAGGCGTATTACTGAAAAACAAAATGTGTTTCCAATTTATGTATGCCTTGCAAGGCGGATTTCTGATGATGGAACTTCAAGGGTAGGAATACTGCTGCTTAAAAGTTGAATCATTATTATTCCTGATACTAACCAGTTTCCTACTTCTTATTGTTAAAATACTTTATCTCTAAATTTTTTTTCTACTATATAATAATACTTTTTTGTTTTAACTTACCAAAAACAAAAAAAAAAGCACTCTGCCGTTTATCAAATCGGTCGGATTTTCATCTTTCGAAATTCCCCTGGAATTGATTTGAATACTCAAGTCCAAGCAAATTTTACACTCCCTGAAATCAATAAGTTAGCTGAGGAAGCTAAATCTGACTCACTTGTTATCTTGTTCATCAGCACTCTCACTGGTATGTATATGCTTATGTGATTCAATTGGGATGAAATATGTATAATTTTTGGTAAGTTCCTTTTTATGACTTTTTACTTGCAGGGGGAAACTCAAATTTATCTTCCGGAGTCGATTCAAACTCAATGCCTTCTGATTTGAGTCATCTGGCTTTATTTGAATGTGAGATGTGCTTTAATTACTAATTTTTATCTTTGACCATATTGTTACATTGTTATTTGAGCCCCACGTTTTTTAAATTTATGTACCTAGAGCCAATACTCCCCTAGGTCCTTGACGGGTATTGGCTTTGTTCACAATATGCTTCTATTGGGTCTCAAACCCCATACATTGCTAGTAAAGTCTCATCATGGACCAAGCTGCTAGGAGAGATATCCACATTTAATGCCTGACAGTGCCTCAAACAAGATTGTTTTTGAAGGAGGATACCTGTGGTGTGGCTAACCAAAAGAAAGTCCCCTAAGATGGAGCTCTATTAGTGTACTGAGCCACACTTCATGGTTTCTTGAGCCACTTCTAGTTTACACTTTTGTATGCTTTTCTCTTTTTTAAACAAAAATTTTTTACGTGACCATCTTGTTTTGTATGCTTTCCTTCTTATTGGATCATCTGGGTAGGCTGCTTGATGTGTCAAAAAATGGGTGTTAGAGCGTGTTTGGCTCCATTTGGGATGCCATCAACGACTTTGAACAGATCAATGCCAGGCGATCTTCGTGGTGGAGTTTGTCACTGGAAAGGTCGCCGGCAGTGGTGGTGATCAGAAAAGATGCTGGTTTCAGTAAAGTCTATACCTTCCTGCTGAGAGTACCCTTTTGCAACTAACCTTGCTTTGTTTCTTACCACATTTCCTGATTCGTCCAATTTATTTTTGTATACCCATTTTGTTCCTATGATTGTCCTGTCTTTAGGCATTGGAACAAGTTTCCAAACATCATTCTTCTGAAGTTGGCTCAATTCTTCTTGCATGGCCTGAACCTAACTTTCGTCTGACAGGGCTTCGTCCGTGGTTCTTGGCTCTTTTTGGGATAGTAGAGCAATTTGAACTTGAGTTCTGAACGAACTTCTTATTCTTACAGCATCTTTTACTTCCCCAATGATCTGTTCTTGTGGATGATGAGCATTCATCTGCCAGTTGCGATTGAATGGTTCTCTATCCTCTCTTTCGTCCTGTTGAGTCGTTGTTTCTTCAAATTCAGGCTTCTCCGTCTGGTCATTGTTCACCTGCATATTCTCAAAGAAATTGTCTAGCTCTGATATTTCTTTATTAGGCTTATGTTCATCAAATTTAACGTGAATAGCTTCTTCAACTGTTTTAGTCCTGTTGTTGGACACCTTGTAGGCTCTTGACCTCTTAGAGTATCCGAGTAGAATACCCTCGTCGATTTTTGAGTCAAATTTCCCTAAATTATCTTTGGTATTTAGAATAAAACATTTGCATCCAAACGGATGAAAATATGATATGTTGGGTGCTCATCCCTTCCACAATTCATAAGGAGTCTTTTTCAGCAAGGGCCTAATATATATTCTGTTTTGAATATAACAAGAAGTATTAACTGCTTCTACCTAGAAATGTTTAAGGATGGATAAATCATTTAGTAAGGCTCTTGCCATTTCTTGTAAAGAACGATTCTTTCTTTCTACAACCTCATTTTGTTGTGTAGTTCTAGGTGTTGAAAAATTGTGTTTTATTCCATTTTCTTCACAAAATTCTTGAAATTGTTCATTTTCAAATTCTCCCCATGATCACTTCTAATAGATGTAATTGAGATTCCTTTTTCATTTTGAACTCATTTACAGAATACATAGAATACCCTAAAGGACTCATCCTTGTGAGTTATGAACAATACCCTTGTCCATCTAGTGTAGTCATCCACAATGACCAATCCATATCTTTTACCATTTACAGATGTTGTTCTAGTGGGACTGAATAAGTCTATATGGAGCAGTTCAAGATGTCTTGAGGTGGAGACGTGATTTTTACTTTGAAATGAATTTTTAACTTGTTTCCCCTTTTGACATGCTTCACATACACCGTTTTTCTGATGCACAAGATTTGGTAGTCCTCTTACAAGGTTATGCTTTTTCAGCTTTGAGATTAATCTCTGACTTGCATGACCAAGTTTCTTGTGCCCGATCCATTGATTTTCATATGAAACTAGACAATCAACATTTTGATTTTCTAGTTCATTAAGCATTATTTTATACAGGTTGTTGCATTTGTTAGCTATAAATAATATGGATGAACCAGGTTGACAAATAGTAATTTATTTTTGTTGAGGGATACTTCATAACCATTATCACATAATTGACTTATGCTTAGTAAATTATGCGTTAATCCCTTAACATACAGAACATTATCAATGGAAATAGAGGAATTCATACCTATTTTACCTATCCCCATGATATATCCTTTCTATCCTCCTCCAAATGTGACTTTCTCTCCTTTCTTGGACTTGAGGTCTAGGAACATAGACCTTTCGCCCGTCATGTGTCGCAAGCAGCCACTGTCCAGGTACCATGACTGGACACTTTTTGTTTTTGTTGAATAGATTTGCAACAGGCACTATTTCAGTTTTTGGTACCCAAATGGATTTGGGTCCATGAGTGTTACTACCGGAGGTTTTGGAATCCCTCTTCTTGTGCATGTAACTGCATTTAGACGTAAAATGTCCATTCTTTCCATACAAGGGAGATGCGTATGTTCCTGTTTTGATTTCAGATTCAACATATCCTAGTCCTGATCTATCTTTCCCACTTCTGGAGTGTTTTAAAAGATGCTCAAGATTTTTGGTTCCTAGTGTGAATTTTGACAAATCTGATTTTAATAGGTCAATTTATTTGTTAAGTTTAATTACTTCTTTAGAAGTTGAAAATAGTTTCGCATTTTCATTTTTCAGTAAACGGTTTTCTTCAAGTAGTTCCAAAATTCTTTTCTTTTGATCTTTATATGCTGTAGAAATATTTTGCTGAGTCTGATAGAAGTTAATTGTATGCATGTTCAAGAATTTTAAGATCAGATTCAGTTACCTCCTCATTATCAAATTATGTTGATGAGTCTGTGTCTGCCATGAGACAGATATTTGCTTCCTCGTCTCCTTCAGACGATGTTGTGTCAAGGTCCTCCAAGGTGGCCATCATGACTTTCTTCTTTTTGTAGGGGATCAACTTCTTCTTCTCTCTTTCTTTCTCTTTTCCTTTTTCGAGTTCTGGACATTTTGTTTTGTAATGTCCAGGTTTCTTACATTCATAGCACAATGGTTGTGCCTTTTCTATGGGAGGTCTGCTATATTTTCTCCACCATATTCCTCCTTTTTTCTTCATCATTGAATGAATCTTCCTTGATAGGAAGGATATTTCATCGTCTGTGTCGCAGGTCCCTTCACTGCAGCTTTCATCAGACGTGTCATCAACCCTTAGGGCTTTTGAGGAGGATGGTGTAGATTTTGTCTTTTGTACATTTAGTGCAATAGACTTTTGTTTTCTCCCGGCGTTGTCTTGTTGCAACTCCAACTCATGAATTTTAAGTAGTCCAATAAGTTCCTCCAAAGAGAGATTTTCCATATTTTTGGATGCTCTCATAGCAGTAACATGTGATCTCCATTTCCTGGGTAAACTTCGAAGCAATTTGTCAATATAATCAAAGTTATCATATGTTCTGCCAAGGAAGGGCAGTTCATTAACGATGGTTTGGAATCTTCCAAACATAGTCTGTATAGATTCGCTTTCTTCCATCTCAAAAAGTTCATACATACGAGCTAACAAGCTCATCTTGTTGCGTTTTACCTCTAGGGACCCCTCATAGGTCAGGGATAGGGTGTCCCACATTTGTTTGGCACTTCTAAAGTTGTGAACTTTAGTTTATTCTTCTTCAGACAGAGCACACATGAGCGCATTGCGTGCCTTGGAGTTCAACATAAATCTTTGCTTTTGCTCTTCAGTCCATTATGCTCTAGGTTTCTCGTTGCCAGCTTGATCTAGCGGAATGTAGTTTCCTTGCTCGACGACATCCCACATGTCTATATGACATGCATCAAAGAATGCAATCATTTTTTGCTTCTAGTAGTCATATTTTGCTCATTTGAAGAGGGGTGGTCGGTTTACGGCTTGTCTTTCATTTTCCATGATCGTTACCCCTGTAGTGTTAGATGCTCAACCCAAGGGATCAAGTTGTGATACCAACTGAAGTTAGCGAAAATACACACAGAAGGGGGGTTGAATGTGTGTGTTCGTGTTCGAAGGAAGATTTTTTAAAGTTGTTTAGCAAGGATAATTTCTAAGTTGGGTGTTTCAATCTTGGTTAAAAAAAAAACTTTAGCAAACTTTTCTGTCAGTGATTTTTCTTGTTTAACAAAACTGATTTTCCACTTCAAGAGACAAGTTGAGTAAATTTGTTTTCCGTCTGAAAGGTTTTATCGTCCAAAGAAAAACTATTTCTCATATTCAATGATCAAGTGGTTTTCGTCTAATAGTTTGTTAAAAAGAAGGTAGATGCAAGATGAAGTAAGTAGTGTTAAAAACAATAAAATATGCACAGATGTTTATACTGGTTCACTCAATCTGAGCTACGTCCAATCTCCTTCAACCGAAGGGTTCCACTAATCACAACGGATTATAAGTATTCTCAACCATTTCTGACTCGGCAACTTTGACGCTAGTATTCTTAACCACTTATGGTTCTCCAAGTATTCTTGACCACTTCTAGCCCACTAGCTTCACTCATTAGCGCTAGTATTCTCAAACCACTTCTGGTTTACAAGTATTCTTTCTACCAGCCTCTTCAGGCTTGACAGCAAATAAAGGTGTTAAGTGTGTTTGCAACTTTCGCAGAGAGGATAAGATAGCTTTCACTATTACATTTTACCTCTCTTGATTTTATCTAACACTGGAAACCAAAGGTGGTGATCAGATTTGCGAATGGGAGAAAGAACATGGTTTGCAAACAAAAAGAAATCCCAGGGAAACTAGGTTCATCGGGAAAACGGTTCAAGGGCTGTATCTCTTAGGCTCTTGATACCATATTGAAAGAGAAGAAAAATAGAGACATCAGACTGAAACTGTGTGCCTATAAAGGCAACATGGACATAGGTTTATATAGACTTATTGTATTAATTACAAATAATTAGGATATTTTGCTTTATCTAAATCATTGATTTTGTTGCCTAAAATCCTCTTCTATTAAATTTAAATATTTTATCGTGATTTTCAACAATCCCCTCTCTCTCTCTCTCTCTCTCTATATATATATATATATATATATATATATATTTATGTGTGTATGTGTATATATATTATATAACCTTTCTTTCATAATGAATTCATGTATATAGTATCTATAACAAAAAATGAGTTCCCTTAGATCTCTTTGAATATTAATATGTGGTGCTACCTAAACCACAATTGTCAAATCAGGAATCATATCAAGGATAGTTTATTCTAATTGTTCTTATTTTGAATTGTGAATTGTGATTCGTAACATGTTGTACATAAAGGGTCCATGTAAAGTATTTTGGAAAGAATATTAAGGAGGAATTCTTGACCCTAAAATCAAAGTAAATTAATTGTGAATTCAATCTATGTGATTGATTGACAACTATTCAAATGTATAGTTTTCCCTCTTGTAGAGGTAGGTTGGGGAGGCAATGTGTGCTTCAACTAGAGTTGGCAAAATGGGTTAGATTTGTCGGGCTAGTCTGAACTGACCCAATAGATTATAATGGTTGAGCTCTAAGTTTCAAGTTTAAATCAAGTATGAGACTTTTTAGTCTGATTCGATAAAGTTCATGTCATAAATAGATTCGGGCTAGGCTAGCTTGGTTGAGCCACAGGCTGCCCACATCCTTATTTAGTTTTTCTAAGCGACTAAGAAAGTTTATTAATTAAGAGACAAAGACTAAATAAAATTATAACTTTTATAAACTTATACCCAAATAGTTGAATATTATATGTATTTGTGTGTGTGTGTATACATACATACATATATATATACATATACATATATACATATATACATATACTAACATATTATATATAAGTTTTTCATATTAAAAATAATTACAATAAATGTCACATTATCAATTTCAATGTTTTTCATAAACGTAATAATATAATAAATTAATTATTTATATTTTATTTATTACATTAAAGTAAAATGTCAATAAAAATAACTATCACAAAAATTATTTAGCTTGAATTTTGAAATAAAATTAAAAAAAATAACAAAAAAGTTAAAATGTCAAGCTGGCTCGATAAGCTCGAAGCCTATATAGGGTTGGATTTGGGTATCAATTTAGAAGACCAATTTAAATTTGGGTCCTTTTACCCTAGCCCATTAAAATATGTGGTTTACATCAGGCAAGCCCGCAATGGGCTAGGTAGCCCATTTTGTTAGCTCTATCTTCAACCTATCATAGTACTCAATAGTGTGCTATAGTGGGATAGCAGAGTGGAGCTGCCTTGGGACATTGTGGGATTGAAATAGTGGAGTGACTTTTAATAACGACTTTAACTTTTTGTGTGCTACAACAACATTATGATGGTATAGGCTTCAAACACCATTTTTATCACTAGGTAATGGTATAGGCTTCAAAAACCCATTTTTATCACTGGAAGATCCTTGTTTGGTTTTTTTTTTAGTTTGGTAAAATATTCCACAAAAAGTTGCCTATGTTTTGACCTTTTTCCCTTGCACCTTATATTCGCAACCTTGCGAAGGTTTGATATGCGACCAATAATTACATAGTGAAGCTACCTACATATTTTGAGAGGTTAATAGTATTGATATGATTTCTACTGTTAGGAGTCCCACATTGAATAGAATATGAAACTTAATGTGATACTTAAGCCTTGAGGCTCCCCCACCTAATGAACTAGTCTTTTGGGTTGGGTTCTCATCATGTGTTTAAGTCCTAACAATTGGTGTTTTCATTGAGAATTGGTCTATGAAATGGACTACCTATAGGCTGAATTGAGGTACAATCCGAATATTGATAGGTGAGTGAAGCCATCAAAGAGAAAAGAGCTACCATCAAGTCAGTGTTGATACAGTGAACGCAACTGTGGATGTCGACCCTTAAAGGGGACAGGAATGTTAGGAGTCCCACATTGAGTAGAATATGAAGCTCAATGTGGTAGTTAAGCCTTGAAGCTCTCCCACCTAATGGACTAGTCTCTTGGGTTGGACTCTCCTCATGTGCTTAAGTCCTAACATCTACATTTGTAACCATAAAAGACATATCACCCTAGCCAAAACTTACAATAATTGTTAGCGGTATTGTATAGTAAATACTATTCAATAGAACAAGATGTAGGAAGTTCAACTCAAAGTGAAGGAGCCTTTTTCCTCTAAATTGAAGGTTTAACAATCCCATCCTATGCCAAGAGTGTGTAGCACCTATAACTAAGGCCCTACCTAACAAATTTGTCACTTAAATAAAGATTGCATCCTAATGGCTTTGGTGAGGGTTCCATTGCCATTTGAAAATAAGAGCAATTTGTTGTTGACCTTGAGTTCCTACTTCCATGCCTTTCATCATAAACACATCGTTAACTAAAATGCATGCAATGGTGTCCACCTCTTTGCCCTCAGCTCTTGCTCCTTTGACTTCTTCACGAACTTAGTACGTGCTTGTATATGATTTCATAGAGAATTGGTGAGAAAACCAATTTGCCTAACTATCATGAATTGGTATGCAAGTACCAATACACAATTTGCAAGGGTAAGAGCAAATCATGTTTCTATGCCACTAACACCTACTCAAATAAGGAAATAAGTTAGCAAATGCACAATGAATAGAAAATATTTTCTAGGATTACTTCCTCATTTTGATGAACAACATTCCACTAAATTTCTAAAGATTTGTTAGGATTTAATTGCAAGGTGTGAGATTTGAGTCATGTTGGAAGTATGAGATTGACAACTATGGATAAGATGTACACAACCTCTCTCCCTACTATGCAAGTAGGAGGTTGTTTCCAAGATTTGAACCGTTGATCCCCATGTTACAAGGTAACAAGCTTACTATTGTAGTGAGGCTTGCCCTCCATTGGAAAAAGGAACAATAATGCCATAAAAGAGAAGAGATTCAACAAGGATGGAAATTTCATAAGAGCATATGAAGTAAAAAGAAAAATGATCTCAAAGTTGAACACATTGAAAAAATAGCGGGTAGAAGGAAGAACTTGAATTTTGATTAATGTATATTTGGTGCATGCAAGTGGGAAGGAAAGGACTAATAAAAATGGACTGGACCAAACTCAATCTCACAAGTTAACTCAATGGTGGAGGGTTGTCTAAGTCTTACAAGGACTTATTTTGGCCATATTCTTAGCTGATATGCGAAATATTTTAACAAAATCTATGGAGATAATGGCATTGTTGTAATGTTGTTGTGAAGTTACAAAGTTTTGGGAACTTGGTGAGGTAATGGAGTTACATATTCAAATTCATTCCTTTCTTGAAATCATCCATTAAGTGGACAATTCTTATTTTAGTTTATCAAGAGATTATGCTTCTATGTTTTTGTATTATACATGCTTCTATGTCTCATATGTAGCTGTATTGGATTTTTAAAACTTTTTTTAAAGGTTTGAATACTTTATGGACATGTATTAGTGAAATATCCAAGAGTATTAGTATCAGATACAGATATTTTGATATTGTGTTCAAATCATTGGATTTAGTAGTGAACTTTGAAGGAGGAAAAGGGATAAGAAGGACTGAATAACAAATTGTTATTAGATTGATAAGATGAAACCCATTGATACACTAAGACTATGAACTCCATAAGTAAATAATGGAAAAAAATCTGGAAAAGTAATGAATAGTTAATAACTCTAGGAAAAATTCCTCGATTAGTAAACTAATTGGTTTGATTGTATTTTCTGCAAATCATGTAAGATATTCAAATATACAATAAAGGTATTATAATATTTTTTTGTGGATATTTGAATGCTTGTTGTGGTCCTTGTGGACTAATGTTTCCCAAATAACTTCTTAATGCATGATTGTATTCTCCTTTCAATTTTCTTCATTTTTTGTTTGACAGCTGGAAAATACTGCCTTTGTGGGAAAGTATCTTTGGAATCAATTTATCTGATTTTGAAGCACATGCCAAATTTTCGTTTGGGACAGAGCGTTAGTATTATGTCAAATGTGGATTTGCTTCCATGTATTCTGAAGGTTTGATGATTAACACTTTTGTTTCGGTAGAAAACACCAACATTACTCTACTTTCTGTTGTTCTATTTAAAGTATATGCTATGCATGGGCATTATATTTTAGGTCTAAGAATCCATTTCAAGCTTTATTATCTATACCTCATTGTTTGATATATGTACTAGTTCACAACTTCCTTAATGTTGCAGTCAGATTTTCTAAATGAGGGCACAAGAATCTCCATTCAAATTCCCTCTAATTTTGAGAATATGGTTAGTTCTAACTTGTCATTTCCCACTGAGCAAGAAATTCACACACCTAAACACCAAAAATGACTTAGATATCAAATGGAGAAATTATATTAATTGCTGTTTGTTTATTTTCTGTTCTTTCAATTTCTAAAGGGTACATCAAAGCAATTACAAATCTCAATTTCTGCTGAAGAATTTGGGGCCAAAGAACAATCTCCCTACCTTTCATCCGGCATGCAGTGAAGTACAGTTCTCATCATTATCTCATATGATTGGGTAAATTTTTATTTTATTTTCTCAGAAGATTCTATTATCCATTCAATCATTATAATTGTAAAGCTTATTTCTCTGTTTCTACGGAAGATTTCTTACAAAAAATGTAAACATAGTGACATGGATATCGTTGCTAATTGGAATTAGCTTTTTGCTTAGTGTACATGGCTACTTACTTGTTATTGAGTGTATCCACCTTCCTTGCTAGTTCCATATGCACTTACTATTCAACGCCAACTTTTTTGGCAACTTAGCCTTGGTCTATTGTCCTATAAGGAATTGGTTTCATAGTGAAGATTATGGATTCTTTTCTTCGTAGTTATAGTTACAAAAAGTACTCTGAGATTCAAGGTTGTATAGTGAGTGTTAGCTGCGGTTCACCATTGTGGCCGTGAAAGCCTTGAATATCTGTGTTTTCTGGTGCAGTAGTAATGGACTCGACATCCGCAAAGACAAAATGCTACTACTGGGTTTCTGTAATGGTGTGTTTGGATTGAAGAATTTAAAAGGGAAATGTAATTTAAGAAGGGATTTAAAATTTTTTGTGATAAAATTTTCTGTTTGGATATTTTATTAGCAGGAATTTATGTTAGAATTTTAATTAACTAAAAACAGCAGGATTTCAAATTCCACCTGAAAAGAGAGAATTGTAAAATTCCTTGTGTCTAGCCTTGCTCACGCTTGTTCCCTGTTCGCACTGGCTTGAGCCTTTCTTTCTTGATCTTCACTCTCTCTGTCTCTCTTGTTTGAGCCCTTTGGCTCTATCTCACATCTTGCATGCTCGATCCCTAGTTCGTTTTTTTCATTTCTGATTTCTTCTTTATCTAGGATTTTTCGTGTTTTATTTTTTATTTGTCTCTGCATTTCTATACATTTATAATTTATTCTCTAATCTAGGGTTTTTGTGTTTTTTTCTATTCATATGTTTGGTAATCTGATTTCCATTTTATGGTTTTGGTACCTTTACAACTTTAATCTGTTGTACTGTAGTAGCATTTGATTTGCTGTTTTGGATAATTGTGTGGTGAAAATGATTGTTTTTCTCCTTCAAAACATTTACAAATTCACAAACTATATTCGGTATGTTAGAAATGTATGTGCAAGGATGCCTGAGATCATTAAGAAGTTGGCTTTAAATTGAATAGATTAACAAAGACAACGATCAGTTTTCTTTGTATTAAAAATCTACATGTAATTCAAATTGTTGCTGAAAGTACCACATTGAATGACAATCTCCACTTCATGCCTTAGAACTTTTATATTCTGAATCAGATTATCTATTAAATTCTCATATTTTGTATATTATTTCCTCACTTTTTAAGAGATTTTAGCATACTTGCAAATTAAAACTCATGGTTTACTTGGTTTATCATTTAATGCAGCTACCATTCAAGTGTAATAAAACACATATCTCTAAGTTCGCCAAGGAGAAAGATGAATTTCTTGTTCCTGATATGAATAATAGCTAAATGGTTTAAATAAATAATTATTTTAACTCCAAATTTAACAAGCTCTGAAAAGCTGATTAGAAAAACTTTAATTTAAGAAGAGTATCAACCAATCTAATGTTTACTGTCGTAAGTATATTAGGCTTAATCATTAAGTTCATATTATCAAAGAAACTATAATTCCATCTCATAAATCTCAAAACAAGTTATCATTCCATCCTAAGACAATGCTTATCATGAAAATGAAAAAGACATTCATTTGAAAGATATTTGATTTGAGGGAGTTAGAGGAAACGCAGATCTATTCATATGCCCCATTCAAGAGGGAATTACCATCATAGGTAAGTATTGTGCTTACAACTATAGAAAATTCCACTCATACTAAGCAGAATGCTACAAGCAACTTATATGGTATTATGATAAAACCTAAGAAGCAAATTTACAAAATTGAACTGGTTCAAGTCTTTCTCTTTCTTAATAAATTATTTATCATGTTTCACAACCAGCATCCTGATCATCCTAACACCTAGAAGATAAAAGGTTATACAAATGGTTTCATGAGTATCAGATAATAGTTTCTGTTAGAATAGTGGATTAAGCCTAACTCAACCCTACAAAACTGGCTTGTAAGGTGAGGGTTGCTTTCCACTTATATACTATTCAATTACCTAATTTCTAGTCGATGTGGGACTTGGGTTTTTCCCAATACACCCCCTCACGTCCAGCACTATTGGGCTTGGTACGTGGATAAATGGTGGGTGACCCTTTTTAATGATCTAGGATAGGTAGGACTTGGGTTTTTCCCAATACATCCCCTCATGCCTATGAGGCATGCATCAATGGTGGGTGACCCATTTTTAAAGTGGATCTAAATGGCTCTGGTACCATGTTAGTATTGGAGTATAGTTTTACTCCTTAATTGTCTGTACACATTTATTACTATTATTACTGTTATTATAGACCAATCTTAATTGGCTCTATATAAACCTGCCTTGTACATTATTTTCAGTCAGTTAATGAAAATATATTCTTTGCCTATTGTAAACTTTCTCTCACCTCTCTTGCTCTCTCTCTCTTTCTCTCTCACATATAATTCTGTTATGGTATCATAGAGCTGCTTGATCCTCTTCTTCTTCTCTCCGTTTCTGTTCGTCCAGCAATCTCCCTATGGCTGAATCTACCTCTACAATGAATTCTTCCCCACCACCACCACCTCCTCCGCCCATCCATGCTACCCCCTTTAACACCATCCCTCCCAAGAACCCTCCCCCTAACTCTCATCCGTCTCTTACCTTCTCTCACACCATATCCGAAAAACTTGACACCAAGAATTATCTTCTTTGGTGTCAACAGGTTGAACCCGTCATCAAGGGTCACCGCCTTCACCATTATCTTGTCAACCCGCAGATTCCTCAGAAGTTTTCAACCCTTGCTGATCGAGATGCTGGTCGCATCTCTGAATCTTATCTTGCCTGGGAACAGCAAGATCAATTACTACTTTCCTGGCTACAATCCTCCATGTCTAAAGACATGCTTACACGAGTTATAGGTTGCAAATCATCCTTCCAACTTTGGGACAAAATTCACTCATACTTTCACTCTCATATGAATGCCAAAGCCCGTCAATTGCGCAATGAACTCCGCAGTACCAGTCTTGAAAATCAGACAATCTCTGAATATGTGCTTCGAATTCAAACCCTGGTTAACGCTCTCACAGCCATCGGCGACTCTGTCTCTTCAAAGGAACATCTCGATATCATTCTTGAAGGCTTACCCGAAGAATATGAATCCACTGTGTCTCTCATCAGTAGCCGTTTTGACCTTCTGTCCATAGATGAAGTCGAGACCTTGCTTCTTGGCCATGAATCCCGTCTTGACAAGTTCAAGAAGAAAGCCGCTGCCTCTATCAATGTCACCACCACCACCCCTGAACCCAATCTGCCTCTCACACATCCACAAGCAAATCTTGCACATCAAGAAAACCGATCTGCCTTTTCTCAGCATCGTGGGGGTCGCACTAATTTTCGTGGTGGCCGTTTCTCTAACCATGCAGACCGAGGACGAGGCAGATTCGCTGGGTTCCAATGTCAAGTCTGCCATAGGCATGGACATGTTGTTTCCTCCTATTATTATCAGTTTGATGAAACTTATGTTCCATCCTCACCTCTTGAAGCACCCGCGTACCACTCTACCAACCAACATGCAAACCCAGGCGCGTGGTACAGCAATCCACCTGCTTCTCCTTCTCCTCACCAAAACGGAATTCTTGGGCCTAGACCTCAATTCACCCCTCAAGTCCACTTTACCTCCACCCAGGCGCAACCTCAGGCCATGATTGCTTCATCCTCCTCTTCGAGCAACAACAATTGGTATCCGGATTCTGGGGCATCAAATCATGTTACCAATGTCTCTCAAAATATTCAACAGTTTACTCCTTTTGAAGGACCCGATCAAATCCATGTTGGTAATGGACAAGGGCTTCACATTAACTCCACAGGTGTTACCACCTTTCATTCTCCAATCAACCCTAAGTTTCAATTTGCTCTAAACAATCTTCTATTTGTGCCCTCCATCACAAAAAATCTAATCAGTGTTAGTCAATTCTCCAAGGATAATTTTGTATACTTTGAATTTCACCCCTACGTTTGCTTGGTCAAATACAGGATACTAAAGAAGTTCTCCTCCAAGGCTCGGTTGGTCCTGATGACCTGTACCAGTTTCATGCACTTATTCCAACTACCAGTACACAATCTGTCCAGCGTGTGCAACCAGCCAGATCCTCCTCTGTTAATACAGCAGCAAAGAGTTCTGTTTCTTTTGCCACTTGGCACTCTAGATTAGGTCATCCTAATGTTGATGTAATGAAACATGTTTCCCGGAACTTCAACATTCAGTTTGTGACCAATAATAAATCAGATTTCTGTACTCCTTGTTGCCTTGGTAAATCCCATAGATTACCTTCCAATCTGTCTAATACTGTTTACACTACACCATTTGATTTAGTATACAGCGATTTGTGGGGACCTGCTCCGATTACATCTACCTGTGGCTATCAATACTATGTCACTTTCGTTGATGCTCACACACGCTTTACGTGGATCTATCTTCTCAAAAATAAAGCTCAAACCTTTAACGTTTTCAAGCAGTTTCATGCTATGGTTAAAAATCAATATCACCACCCGATCAAAGCATTGCAGACTGACTGGGGTGGTGAGTATCGCTCCTTCACAACTTATTTAAATGAAGTTGGAATTCAACACCGTCTAATCTGTCCACACACACACCATCAGAATGGAGTTGTTGAAAGAAAACACAGGCACATTGTTGAACTTGGTCTCACCTTGTTAGCTCAAGCTGAATTACCTATGCAATTTTGGGACCATGCCTTTCTTACTAGCGTTTATCTCATCAACCGCCTTCCCTCTTCCTCTATTCAAAATGCTGTTCCTTATCGCAAACTCTTCCACCAACCATCAGATTATCTCTCTCTTAGAATATTTGGTTGCTTTTTCTTTCCACATCTTCGGCCCTACAACAAGCACGAACTTCAATTTCGATCCCAAGAATGTGTTTTTTCTAGGTTACTCTACTTCTCACAAAGGTTACAAATGTCTTGCAGCTGATGGACGTCTATATATCTCAAAAGATGTCGTGTTTCATGAAGCTAAATTTCCCAACAAGGATCTCTCCTCCCCTTCCACAGTTCATGTCTCCCAACATCCTATTTCGGTCCTTCTCACTATAACCCCCACTCCAACACCCTCCCATGAGACCAGACCCACTTCCTCTAACCCACCCGCAACCTCACCAAACCTGACTTCTGATTCCTCCACCACTGGTGTAGTTGCCACGGGTACTTCTCCCTCCACTTTATCCATTCCAACATCCTCAAACCTTGAACTCACCTCTTCTCCTGTCATTCACCCTCACAATGTTCATCCTATGACCATAAGAGCAAAAGATGGAATAGTCAAACCACGTCTACAACCCACACTTCTATTAACTCATGTTGAACCCAAAACCACCAAACAAGCCTTATCTAATCCTACCTGGTCTGCTGCCATGCAAACAGAATACAATGCCCTTCTTCACAATGGCACCTGGTCTCTTGTTCCTCTACCACCGCACCGCACTGCTATCAGTTGCAAGTGGGTTTTCCGTGTCAAGGAAAACCCTAATGGTATGGTCCAAAAGTACAAAGCACGTCTTGTTGCCAAAGGCTTTAATCAACAATTTGGCTTTGACTATCATGAAACTTTCTCCCCTGTTATCAAACCCATCACTGTCAGGCTCATTCTCACCCTTGCCTTAACTCATCGTTGGCCCATTCAACAACTCGACGTTAATAATGCCTTTCTCAATGGCACTCTTGAAGAAGAAGTCTATATGACACAACCACCAGGATTTGAAGCATCTGATAAAAATCTCGTCTGCAAACTTCACAAAGCCATCTATGGGCTCAAACAAGCACCTCGTGCTTGGTTTGACAAACTCAAATCCACTCTACTGCAGTTTAATTTTTATGCCAGTAAATGTGACCCGTCTCTGTTTGTATACTCTCATGAGAATAATGTCATTTACATCCTGGTGTATGTCGATGACATTATCATCACTGGCAATAATTCCACTATCCTTCATACACTTGTCTCTCAACTCCATTCAGTCTTCTCTCTCAAAGATCTCGGTGATCTTGATTTTTTCCTTGGCATTGAAGTAAAATCTCAGTCTGATGGTTCTCTCATTCTCACTCAAAGTAAGTACATCCGGGATCTATTAAATCGTACTGATATGGAAGGGTCAAAACCTATTTCTTCTCCCATGGTTTCTGGCAGCAAACTATCAAAAGCAGGCTCTGAAGATTTCCTGGATGCGTCTCTCTATCGTTCAGTTGTAGGTGCACTACAATATGCTACCATTACAAGACCTGAAATTAGCTTCTCTGTAAACAAAGTCTGTCAGTTCATGTCTCATCCTCTTACACATAATTGGGCTGCTGTTAAACGAATTCTCAGGTATCTGAAGGGCACTACATCTTGGGGCCTTCGTCTGCGACTTGCTCCTTCCTCCTCCTCTCTTTCGATTCATGCCTATTGTGATGCAGACTGGGCGTCTGATCCTGATGATAGGCGATCCACATCCGGTGCTTTCATCTTCCTTGGACCAAATCTTGTGTCCTGGTGGTCCAAAAAGCAAACTGTTGTTGCTCGCTCTAGTACGGAAGCAGAATATAGAAGTCTTGCTCTTGCCACAGCTAAAGTTACTTGGATCCAAACGTTGCTCTCTGAGCTTAAAGTCAATCATTCTACTCCAATCATCTTCTGTGACAACTTGAGCACTATGGCTCTTGCTCACAACCCTGTTCTTCATGCGCGTACCAAGCATATGGAATTAGATCTTTTCTTTGTTCGAGAGAAAGTGGCTGCCAAGTGTCTTCAAGTTGTTCACGTTCCAGCTATTGATCAATGTGCTGATGTGCTCACCAAAGCTCTCTCGCCTTCGCGGTTTTGTGATCTTCGGTGCAAGCTTCATGTAGTTGAGTCTCCTCATCCTACTTGAGCTTGCGGGGGGCTATTGGAGTATAGTTTTACTCCTTAATTGTCTGTACACATTTATTACTATTATTACTGTTATTATAGACCAATCTTAATTGGCTCTATATAAACCTGCCTTGTACATTATTTTCAGTCAGTTAATGAAAATATATTCTTTGCCTATTGTAAACTTTCTCTCACCTCTCTTGCTCTCTCTCTCTTTCTCTCTCACATATAATTCTGTTAGTTAGAATAGTGGATTAAGCCTAACTGTTTCCTACACATATCCTTCCTTCTTAACTTCAAGATCTCAAGCTTCAAAAATTTTATGGATAACAAAAATAATCAATCAATGGTGAAGATTAATATCAGGTGTAGTTTTGCAAATGGAAAAGAACTTTTAGTTCTGGAGGAAAACAGGGAAGTGGGGAGGTGTCACTCTCTATAATCTTTTCACATTCCATTTCTTATCTTTTTCTTGAACATAAATCATTACTCAATATGGTTGCTTTTGAATTTGGAATGTGGTGCTGGTATGATGTCAAATTTATTTGATTACGTATTAGGTTGGTGCAAATGTTTGATATGAACTAGATGCCTCACTTAAAATCACTTAAAAAATGTTTTCATCAGTAAAAGGGAATATTGCCATGTTATAATGATATTTGTTGAAGGAAGAACATATAGATTATATATAGATTTTTGTTCTAGTAGCATGTTGATTGTTCTGTTTTAAGATATTAACCACTTAAGCAACTTTGTTAGCTGACCCTCTAATTAGTTAATTATTTGTTTATCTTTTATGTTATTTATTATCTTATCAGTTAGTTAAGATAAGATCAAAATCTTATCTCTTTTATTCTCTTAATATAAATACCTTGTAAATACAATTCTACGATAAGGCAACAGAGTTCTTTTTCTTTTCTTGGAAAGGCTCCTTTCTTAACATGGTACCAGAGCTCCTTTCCTAGGGGCCTTGATTACCGCTGCCATCTCTGAATTTTTTTTTCATTGAACTTCTTCTGGTCTTGACTATGACAGAAGCTACAGATCCTAAAAGGAACATGGTTGCAGATTTCACGGATCCTTTCTTTGTACGTCCAAATGAAAATCCTGGTTTAGTGTTGATATCCTCTTTGTTGAATGGTGAAAATTACCACCAATGGTCAAGATCAATGAAGATGTGTCTCAAATCGAAGAATAAACTTCAATTCATCGATGGATCGTTACCAAAACCAGCGAATGATGATTCAAAATTCTTGGCCTGGGATCAGTGCAATACTTTGGTATTATCTTGGATCCTTCATTCTCTAGATTCTTCAATCGCACAAAGTGTACTATGATGGACAATGCTGCTAAAGTATGTAACGATCTCCGCGACAGATACTATCAAGGTGATGCCTTCCGCATTTGTGAGTTGCAGGAGGAAATCTATTTACACAAACAAGGCAACTCTTCCATAACTACATACTTTACTCATCTCAAAGGATTGTGGCAAGAACTTAATAACTCTAGACCAATCCCTTCATGCACCTGCAAGGTACCTTGTTCTTGTCAATTAATTCCCACAGTGATAGCATATAGAGAAAATGATTATGTCATCAGGTTCTTAAAAGGCCTTAATGATCAATACTCTACAGTAAGATCCCAAATTATGCTCATGGAACCCCTTCCCAAAATCAATAAAGTCTTCTCTTTATTAATTCAACAAGAAAGACAAATGAGTGTACAACCTGATAAAACACAAATCTTGATGAATAATACTGAGAGTTACATTGGAGGATGAGGGGATTTTGGAAGATCACACAAGGAACGCAACAGAACATTCAAAAAGCAAAACAAAAAATAATCATATTTTACTTGTTTCTCATAGGGTTCTCTCAAGAACCCACAGAGCACTCTAATTCATATCAAAACATATCTATTTTCAAAATCAATCACATATTCACAGACAGAGCACACATGAGCGCATTGCGTGCCTTGGAGTTCAACATAAATCTTTGCTTTTGCTCTTCAGTCCATTATGCTCTAGGTTTCTCGTTGCCAGCTTGATCTAGCGGAATGTAGTTTCCTTGCTCGACGACATCCCACATGTCTATATGACATGCATCAAAGAATGCAATCATTTTTTGCTTCTAGTAGTCATATTTTGCTCATTTGAAGAGGGGTGGTCGGTTTACGGCTTGTCTTTCATTTTCCATGATCGTTACCCCTGTAGTGTTAGATGCTCAACCCAAGGGATCAAGTTGTGATACCAACTGAAGTTAGCGAAAATACACACAGAAGGGGGGTTGAATGTGTGTGTTCGTGTTCGAAGGAAGATTTTTTAAAGTTGTTTAGCAAGGATAATTTCTAAGTTGGGTGTTTCAATCTTGGTTAAAAAAAAAACTTTAGCAAACTTTTCTGTCAGTGATTTTTCTTGTTTAACAAAACTGATTTTCCACTTCAAGAGACAAGTTGAGTAAATTTGTTTTCCGTCTGAAAGGTTTTATCGTCCAAAGAAAAACTATTTCTCATATTCAATGATCAAGTGGTTTTCGTCTAATAGTTTGTTAAAAAGAAGGTAGATGCAAGATGAAGTAAGTAGTGTTAAAAACAATAAAATATGCACAGATGTTTATACTGGTTCACTCAATCTGAGCTACGTCCAATCTCCTTCAACCGAAGGGTTCCACTAATCACAACGGATTATAAGTATTCTCAACCATTTCTGACTCGGCAACTTTGACGCTAGTATTCTTAACCACTTATGGTTCTCCAAGTATTCTTGACCACTTCTAGCCCACTAGCTTCACTCATTAGCGCTAGTATTCTCAAACCACTTCTGGTTTACAAGTATTCTTTCTACCAGCCTCTTCAGGCTTGACAGCAAATAAAGGTGTTAAGTGTGTTTGCAACTTTCGCAGAGAGGATAAGATAGTTTCTACACTCACTAAGGTACGTAACCTTAGTTTTACAAGGATAAGTGTCTAAGTGTTTGTTTAGTCTCATGGAGAGGATGCACTGTTTGTAACACTTACTAAGATAAGTTATCTTAGTTTTCAACATAGATATACAGGAAATTCTTTGAGAGAATGTAGCTTGTACTCTTTCACTTTCTTTTTCTTGTTGCTCGTTTTCTCTACTTCTTAGTTCTCTATCTTCTTCTTCTTCTCTTTGATACTTATAACCATTTGATAAATTTTCTCGTTGTTTGATTTCAATTTTTTTTTCGTTGGAGCGTAGCTTCATGTCGTTGCAAATGGAGACTTGTTCATGGCTATGTAAATCTTCTCATTTAATGCATTTGATCTTGCATTAAATGTTTTCTTGTATTTGTGGAGTCTCTGTGTGTAGTTGATTACTTCAATATCTGACTACAATCATGTTCTAAGTATACTTGTACTTTCCTCATCAGTTTAACTGTTGCGGTGCTGTCTTTTTTTGAAAAGTAGGTGTCCTTTCTCTGACGCACTCAGCTTTTGACTTGTGAATGCACGCTTGCCTATTTTCTTTCTTTTTATATTCACGTTGATATTTTCTTGTGTTTCTTGTATGATTTCTTCCAATGTGATTAGTGGACTTCAGACGTACTTTAGTATTTTTGACTATGTCTGGTTACATGATGCTTCATTTGACTTTGACTACCTTTTTCGTCTGGGCATAAGGGTGATAGCTTTATCTTCTAGTTTTTTCTATCTGATGATCACTTTATGTTGACGTCTGGTCAACTTGTGTCTGATGCCTCAAGCTTCCGCTGATAGATTTGTCTTTATCTTCTATTTTGATTTGTGTCTGAATCGACCTTAGTTTTGATACTAGCTTTGCTATCGTCTGATATTTTGTCTAGCTAGATTATGCTTGATCATACTTCATTTCTTGAACTTACTATTATTGTTATGAAACTCTAATGCACATGTTAGTAATAACCATATGTATTATATTTGTCATATTCAAAACCTCGGTGGGAATTGCAAATGCGCTTCGTCTAACTTAACACGAAATACCTTCATAACCATTATTATAGGATAGAGCCTGGAGATGCTTGGCTACAATACCTCGAGGACGACTGGTGTAGCTAGCCTAAAGAATGAACTTTACTGCATCTCATTCCAACCACAATTAGAGCCCAACGATCATGTTTTAAATAATTTTCACTCTTACAAATGTAACACATGGCACTTGAGATTTGGCCATCCCTCTCATGAGAGGTTAGTTCAGATGAATAAAATGTATTCTAACATTGATTGCAATAAGATTGTTGATCCATGTGAAGTTTGTCACTTTGCTAAACAGAAGAGATTGCCATTCCCAGATAGTTACTCTAAATCTGCACCATCCTTTTGATTTACTACATTTAGACATATGGGGTCCTATTTCTATAGTTTCTTCATTTGGACACAAGTATTTTCTTACTGTTATTGATGATGCAACTAGATATACGTGGATATACTTGATGAAACCCAAATCAGAAACACCAAATCACATAAAATCCTTCATTCACCTTGTGGAAACTCAGTTCGGGGTTAAGGTCAAGACTCTTAGATCCGATAATGGGAAAGAATTCATGTTGAATGATTTTTATAATCACAAAGGCATAATCCACCAAACTTCTTGTGTTCAAACTCCGCAACAGAACAATATAGTGGAAAGGAAACATCAACATATATTGTCTATGGCTCGAGCTCTTATGTTTCAATCTAATATGCCGAAGTTATTTTGGAACCATGCAATTAACCATGCCACTTTCCTTATTAACAGGCTGCCAACCCGCTATTTGGATCACAAATCACCTTATCAAGCTTTATTTCAATGCCTCCCTGATATTAATTCTTTAAAAGTATTTGGTTGTCTTAGCTTTGCAACAACACCAAATGCTCATAGAGGCAAACCTGACCCTCGAGCCAAGAAATGTGTGCACTTGGGTTATAAACCAGGCACAAAAGGATATTTACTATTTGACATTGAAACTAAACAATTTTTTGTGTCCAGGGATGTTTATTTTTATGAAAAGATTTTTCCATTCACTGATATTCAACCCCCTGATCCGTCCAATCCTTTACCACTACCTTCTATCACCTTCTTTGATAACCACGATCCATGGTTCCAATCCACAGAAACCCCTGTCAGTCCAACCAACCAAACAACCAGTCCAACAGTTTCGAAAAACTCATCTTCATCCAACTTACCATGTAGAAAATCTACCAGAACACGAAAAACCTCAGACTACTTACAAGACTATCATCACTCTCTTCTTTCCTCAACTGCACCAAAAACCAAGTATCCTATTGACAACTACCTCTCTTATGATGCACTTTCCCTGAAACATAAATGTCTTACCTTATCTATCTCTACAAACATTGAACCACACACATATGAGAAGCAATTAAGCATGATTGTTGGAAACAAGCAATTGGTAATGAGTTAACTGCTCTTATGAACAACAAAACTTGGACAGTTACTCCTCTTCCTCCTGGAAAAAGAGTTGTTGGTTGCAAGTGGATTTTTAAAATCAAATACAATACAGATGGCTCTATTGCAAGGCACAAAGCTCGATTAGTTGCCAAGGGTTTTACTCAAACTGTTGGACTGGATTACTTGGAGACCTTTAGTCCTGTCATAAAAATGACAACTATTTGACTTATCTTATCATTAACTGCTTCCCTCAATTGGCATCTATATCAATTAGATGTCAACACGGCATTTTTACATGGTGATTTGTGTGAAGAAGTGTACATGAAAACTCCTCCTGGCCTCGAATCTCAAGCTCCTAACATGGTTTGCAAACTTGAAAAATCTTTATATGGCTTAAAACAAGCCAGCCACCAATGGAATGCCAACCTTTCCCAAACTTTAATTGCTTTTGGATATGAACAATCCAAAGCTGATTACTCACTCTTCACGAAGAAAACTCCCTCTGGTTTTACAGCTATATTAGTTTATGTAGATGATCTCGTCCTTGCTGGAAGTGACATTTCTGAAATACAACAAATTAAAGCTCTTCTCCATACTAAATTCAACATTAAAGATTTAGGCGAACTCAAGTATTTTCTAGGATTTGAGATAGCAAGATCTTAATCAGGAATCAATATGTGCCAGAGAAAATATGCTTTGGACTTATTGCAAGACTCTGGTCAACTAGCTTCTAAGCCTTGTAACACTCCTATGGATCCTAGTGTAACCATTAGTAAGGAATCAGGTACACAATTAGCTGACCCTTCATCTTATAGAAGATTAATTGGTCGGCTACTCTACCTCACGAATACTAAACCTGACATATGCTATGCAGTAACTAGACTTAGCCAATACATGGATACTCCTACAATTGTTCACCAACAAGCTGCCTATCGCATCCTTAGGTACATCAAAACAGCCCCTGGTCTTGGCCTTTTCTTCCCTAAAGAGTCTGACCTCAACTTAAAAGGATTCACTGATTCAGATTGGGGGGCATGCCATGACACACGTAGGTCCACTTCTGGTTTTTGTTTCTTCCTTGGGAGCTCTCTTATATCTTGGAAAAGCAAGAAACAAACAGTAGTGTCCCGCTCATCTGCAGAAGCAAAGTATCGAGCTCTTGCTCAAGGCACTTGTGAAGCACAATGGCTATTGTATCTTCTTCATGATCTTTGCATCGATCATCCTAAAGTTGTGGTTATATATTGTGACAATCAATCAGCATTTCACATTGCTAATAATCCTGTTTTTCATGAGCGTACAAAGCATATAGAAATGGATTGTCACCTAGTCCGAGACAAAGTCCAATCTGGAACCTTGCATCTCCTTCCTATATCCACACAGGACCAAATTGCAGATATTCTCACCAAACCCCTTCATCTTGGCCCTTTCCAGACACTACATCACAAGCTTGGAATGCTCAACATACATTCTAGCTTGAGGGGGGCTGTTAGCTGACCCTCTAATTAGTTAATTATTTGTTTATCTTTTATGTTATTTATTATCTTATAAGTTAGTTAAGATAAGATCAAAATCTTATCTCTTTTATTCTCTTAATATAAATACCTTGTAAATACAATTCTATGATAAGGCAACAGAGTTCTTTTTCTTTTCTTGGAAAGGCTCCTCTCTTAACAAAATTGCTTATTTATTTGTTTACATTCCAAGCAAAAAGGGCAGCGGCTGATAATTTTTATTGTTTTATTACAGGTGAACAACATGTTATTTATCTTAACATGAAATGGAGAAAGATTAAGTCACACAAACCCTTGATACATTTGGTTCTAGCATCAATGTTATCCTTTCAGTATTTGAGTGCATCAATGGGTGATGTGTCGTGAATAGTTTGTGACAATCACTTGGATAGTTGAATTACTTGCTAACATTTACTGCTAGCAATTTGCTGATCTGTTTAGAAAATGAATTGGTGAACAAATTAAACTCAACTGCCATATATTTATTCATATCTAATATTTGTACTA